TGAGCAAAGCTTGTCTGGCCCAGAATCCTGCGCTTCACCGCTAAGGACACATGTCTTTTGTACGAAACAGCTTGAGCCCCATCTCGAAATAGAGTGTCCTTCTTGGCCCCTGGCTCGGTCCTCCAGTCAAAGCAGGCCCCCCATGGGGGCGTCCTCAGGCCGGGAGAAAGACGGGGAAATCCACTCTGTCACAGGCACACACTTCCCTGCTGCCGGACTGCTGGGGCCACTTCACAGAGGTGGGGGCCGAGGGGACAGGAAGGGAGCGGGGTGGGGACCTCACGTGCTGACTGCCTGTATATGCCCTTTGCTTCCAGACACGTTCCCCCGCGCCCAGCCCCAGGCCTGGATCTCAGCAGGGAAAAGAAAGCCATGGAAGGAGTTTCGAGGAAAAGCAACATGCTATCCTCTCCTCCCTGTCCCTGTCCCTCTCCACCAGGCCTCCATGTCCCTTCCCCATAGAATCCACCCCCGGTTTGGGTGCCCTATTCTTGCCACCTCTGTGGCCTTTGTGTCTGTCGCCTCAGCTGCCTCTTGTCTCAGAGGACCTGGGCCACCCCCTGCAGGCCCCTGTCACCTCGTCCTCCTCCCAGCCCGCCCACCCTGTCTTCGGGACTGCTTCTCTTCTTTGTCTGTTAGATTCCAGGCACATTCCAGCTCATCTTGTGGACACTTCCAGGCTGTGACAGTCAGCTTGCAGGTGGAAAGTCAATCATCACGCCGAACGCTCGTGGCGATCTGTAAACCTGGGAACCAGCAACTTTAAAACAGGATCATCTTCTGTCCTTGGTTTTAGCCTCCCTGGGCTCCCCGCTGCAAGGTCACAAAATGTCCGGGCACGGAGACATGCCTTCCTGTACCCCCATGGGAGACACCACCCTACACCCCCAGACAGGAGCTCAGAGAGGTGAAGGGACTTGCCCAAGGGCACACAGCTCGTTGGTGGTTGTAGCAGAGACTGCTCACTGTCCTCCAGGTTCCTGTCCCCACCCCATCACCTCCAGTGGTCCAAGGGATTAGAACCCCTGCTACGTTACCTGGGCATTTGCTGCTTGGAATCAAGGTACCTCCCAGTCTCCATTATATTTAGGTGTGACCATGTGACTAAATTTTGGCCTCGATGTAAAAATAGTGTTTGACATCAGGAAAGGTTCTTAAAGGGCAAGACACACCCTACTCCCCTTTCTCCTTCTGCTGCCTGTAATGCAGATCTAATGGCAGGAGTGTTAGCAGCCATTTTGGACCATGAGGTGATGATGTTGGAAATGAAGACTGCACGGCAGAGCCACAGTATACAAGGAGCTCAGGGTCCTGGCACTGTGACACTGCTTGCCGCACGAGCCCCGGCCACCTGTAAACGTCTTGAGAGTGGCAAGAAAACGAAACTTTCATCTTTCTCAGCCACTGTTGTTTGGGGTTTTCTTCCGGGTCTGTTTGACTTAGTCCAATGCTCTTCTGTCTCAAGGGGCCTTCTGTAAGGAGGCCCAAAGAGGAACGATGAGGTTTTGGTGCAGTGCAGCCCTGGGGGTCATGACTGGACACCTCATGGGGGGGGGGCGGGGCCTCAAATGGTTTTTAGTAGCTTAATCGCTCGTCAGGGGGAGTCTTACTGAGGAGCCCAGCAACAGCCCTCCTTAGAGAAGAAGGGAGTCCCACCTGCTCAGCCTCCCCTGTGGGTCCTAGAGCCCCTGAGCACACAGAGCGTCTGCCAGGGCTATGCTCTCAGAAGCACCTTCCTGTCCCCTCACCCTGGGGTGGCCGCGTCCCCGTGTGTCAGATGGACAGACTGATGGAAGGGTGCGGGGACTCAGCCTGGGAGGCACAAAGGACCACTACACCCAGGGGCTGGGGCGGTGCCTCTGTCATCCCTGGGGCGCCCCAGGCTCCAGCGCCTCAGGGAGTTGCTGCACCCCTCTTTAGGCCCTCTCCCCGCCGGGGCAAGTGAGAGAAGCAGCGGGCGTTCTCTCTCCCAGACACTGCCTGGTGATGGCTGGGTGGCCGGGATCAGGGTCAAGTCCAGAGAAGCAGGAGGCGCCGGGGCCACAGGGCACCCCCCCCTTAATGCAGGCTGGCTGGGTCTGAGGACCCAGAGGGGGTCTCACGGAACCAAACAAGAGGGTACTTGGGTTCTCACAGGAGTGACATCAAATTCGGGCCAGCAGGAGGTGAGAGTGGAGTCTCTTGCAGACACAGAGTGCAGGGACAGACCGTGTCTGGGAGACTCGGAAAGGAGAGAGAGTCTTTGCTTGGACTCTGGGGTTTTTACTGAGGACTGTGGTCCTGTGCACACGTCTTCTCAGGCATCCAGGAACAAAGGCGAGTGTTTAGAGGTCCTCTGTAAGGCACTAATGCCCCGGAGCCAGGTGGTGGCTCAGTGGTCTCGGGAATGATGCCCAACCTGGTCACTCCTTAGACGTTATCTGTTGTGCTGGAAAATTCCAAAGAAATCATTGACTCCTTGGCCTTTCTAAGGAAGACATATATTATCTGTCCTAAAAGGCGTGTGCAAGGCAGGGTGTGGGTCCCAACCAGAATAGAGGCAGCAAAGGGCGCCTGGGTGGCTCAGTCGGTTAAGCACCTGACTCTTATCTCAGTGCAAGTCTTGATCTCAGGGTTGTGAATCCAAGCCGCGCGTCGGGCTCTGCAGTGGGCGTGAAGTGTACCTAAAAAATGGAGGCACAAAAAGGCAGTCTTTTCGGGGGTCTCTTCACTTTTCCCGTGTCACACTTACTACTTCCCCCCTTTTCGTTCTGCGCATACAGGCCCCTGGCCTCTCTGGGCTTCAGCTCTGCCTCTGCCACATGGGCACACGGCTCCCTGCCCTGCCTGCCCCCTCCCACCCTGCTGTGACTCAGATAACAAATGAGCGGGACCTTGGGGCGTTCACATTGCCAACCTGGGGGGCTTGGAGGCAGCCACAAAGGACACCCGTGCCGACCTGTTCCAGCGGACTTCTCCTTTCATTTGGTGAGTCGTCGTGAAGCACGTCACAAGATGGGGTGGTACTTTCTCCCCAAAGTGGCAGATGGAACATAACCTTCTCGAACTTTTCCACCAATATTTCCTTAATTGTGGGGGCCAGTGAACTCAGAAGATGGGACGGATGCCAGCCCGAGGTCCCTGGGTTTACTGAAGAATCCATACGGGTGTTGTGCTCTGCCCCTTTACTATGGGGATGAGGTAATGAAGTTGAGTAATGAAGAAGTAAGATTTTATCCATTGGCTTGCCTCCCCACCTCCCGCCCCAGATGTCTGAGTAAACCTAACGCTCTGGGGGCTGATCCACGTCTGTCTTGGGGCTCCTCTCCACACACTCACTCACCCACTCCTAGTTGAGAAACACAGTTGTAGGAGAGTGTGAGTTTGTGGTCAGAGTGACTGGTTTCCGGTCCTGGCTGTGAGGTTATCAGCTGTGTGACCCTGAGCATGTCACTTAACCTCTCTGAGCCTCCTTTTCCTTTCTGCTTTCACTCTCTAGTGAGGCCACAGTGGGGATGGGGTAGGGCCAGTAGTCGGGATGCTGTGTCCTTCCCTGGGACAGAGCAGACCCCCAAGAGCCTTAAAGAGGATCTGTTGGAGGGCTTTGCACTGCACAGGGGCACCGTGTCTGTCCGAAGCCGTCTCGGGCAGCCTTGGGAATCTGGAAAAGCAGCGTCACTGTGGCTACAGTGAACAGCCCTGCCCTCTACTCCCTGCTTCCCGGAAGAGGAGCCTCTGGGAGGCCACTAGGAGGGGGTACTGCCCGGCTGTGAGGCTTCTCTCCAGGAGGCCATGGAACATTCAGGTCCTCTCCCCACTTCCTGTGGCCCCGAATTCCAAGCCCGTAAGGCCCCACAGGACAGTTTGCCCGGCCACTCGAGTCTTGAGCGTTCCCACTGGCCACTGTGACGTCTCTTTGCAGGTAAGTGACGTGCCCAGATTTCACTCAGTGGTCTCAAGGCCCAGCTGCATGAGGCTATTCTGGCCAGGCCCACGCAAGCCCACCCAGGAGACAAATACTTCTGGTTGGAAGGTGCAGGGGCCTTCCAGGTAGTCTTGGTGTGTAGATCCCCGTGCAGGATGAGCTCTTGGGTGCATGGAGGCATTTCGGTTTTGTTTTTGTTTTTTGTTTTTTTAAATCGTGGTAAAATGCACAAACATAAAATTTACCATTCAGCCATTTTTAGGTGCACAGTTCTGTGGTGTTCATTACATTCACACTGTCGTGCAACCACCTCCAACACTTTTTCATCCTCCCAAACCGAAAGTCCGTCCTCATTAAATAAGAACTCGGCTGTCCCCCTCCCCCCGGCCCCCCCCCCCCCCCCCATCCCATTCTACTTTGTGTCTCTGAATTTGACGATCTCCTATGAGTGAATGACACAGTACTTGTCCTTCTGTGACTGGCCGGTTCCACTCAGCATCCTGTCCTCGAGGCCCTTGCTGCAGCAGGTGTCAGCGTTTTCTTCCTTGTTAAGACTGAGTGATGTTCCACTGTATGGATAGACCATGTTTTGTTTGCTGATGGACCCCTGGGTTTTCCACCTTCTGCCAGGAACGTGAGTGTGCAGATGAGGACCACGATCTTGATGGCGGAGACTTCAGGTTACACGGACCGGAGCAAACAACGCGTGCACCACCACACGTCACGAGCGTCTGTGCTCAGTGCGCAGCGGAAGTGATACGGGCGACACCGGTCCAGGTGGACGGTGGACGGCCGTGTGGGTTTGAGAAAGTCTGAACCGGGTCAGGCGGACGCCTGCGCCAGGCCTCCCACCCGGCCTCTCCCCCTCCCAGGCTCGGGGGCCTCAACCTGGCTCGCCCTCCTCCGGGTCCCCAGCCAGGGCTGCCGGAAGCCAGCCCACGCAAGGCCCAGTGTGGCATCTGATTGGCTCCGTTCTCACCAGGCCATTCCTGATTGGTCTCTGCTCAGCCTATGGATGGGCTCAGCTTGGTCAGGTGTCCATACCTGGTCCAATCAGCGTTGGGGAGGCCAGGCCTTCCCTGGGCGGGGACTGGGGCTCTCCCTGGAGTTCAACCGGTGTCCTGGGGCTTGTCCAGGTGGAACCTGGGCACCTGCTGCTTTAACAACCTACGCTAGTGTTGTGTTAGGGGCTGCCGGGAGGGGCCTGGAGGATGAAGGTCAAGGTCTGAGCCGACTGACCTTTGAACCTCAAGCTTGAGTCTAACCAACGGGCGTCGGTGTGGCGGCGGAGCAGTCCCGTCCCTGGGCCGAGCCCCACAGGCGTCCCGTCCAACAAGGCATCTGAGTCTTGGCGCTCGCGGAGTTGGTTGGTGTGGGATGGGAGTGGGGGTGTGCTTTGGGGGGTCCCAGGAGCTCCCCAGGCTCTGCTCTTCTGCTGGGCAGCCTGTGCCCTCCTGCCAGCGCCTCTTTTCTCAGGGAGCCCCGACGGTGAGGACTACAGCTCCTGTGCTTTTTTTGACCTCTGGTCAACAGAGGGGTGTCCTCTTTGGGGTCTAGGACTCTCTGCACCGACTCTTCGGTGAGTGTCTGCGAACAGGGGCCTGTGTTTGCTTCCAGGCTCGAGTCAGTGCGACCCTGTCCCCACACGGGGCGGGGGAGGAGGGGAGAGGGGGCGGGGCCTGGGGAGGCAGTTCCCGCCCCACCCCCCAGGCACACAGTCTGCCTACCTCTCCCAGCGGGATCTTCCCTCCCCCGAAGTGTGTGCCAGGGGGCTGAGCCCCCCACCCCAGAAGAGGAGCGGCCCCTGATTGTGCATGACTAATTGCCCGCTTCACCTGTGCAGCTGGGCCGGCCCCCTCCCCTGGGCCCTGAGCTTGTTGGTGGAAGGAAAACGGATTTCCCCAGTTCGGCAGACTTGGGGGAGGGGGGGGGGTAGTGAACCTACTGTGGTTTGGAGCATTTATCATTCACAACAGGCCTCATTCCCTCAAGGAGGGTTTGCGGTAAACAACTCAGAAGACACCCCTCCTACTCAGCCGGGGCTCCTGCCCTAAGGGAAGCAGCCACACTGGGCCCCGGGGTTTGGGGCAGAAACCTGGAAAGGCTCAGGTCGCCTGCCCCCAGCACCAGCAGGCGCTCAGCTGAGCCACAGGCCACTCCCTAGGCCCAGCCAGCCCTCCATCCTTTTTCTGAGAACTATATTGGCGTATAATTCATACACCATGAAACCCCCCCAGGTGTAAGGGCACATCTCAGTGCTTTTCAGTAAGTTTATGGACTTGGGCTCCCCCACCCACCCCAGCACAATCCAGGTGTAGACCATTTCCATCAGCCGCACAAAACTCCTTGTGCCTCTTTGAGGTCAGTCCCTGCTCCCATCTCCAGCCCCAGGCGACCACCCGTCTGTCCTCCCTGCCTGTAGATTTGCCTTCCGTACACTTCCTGTCAGTGGAACCTTCCAACGTGTAGTCTTTTGTGTTTGGTTTCTTCTTTAAAAACTTGATTTTACGGTCATAAGAACACCCCCTTAACACAGTTTTCCGTGTAAGACTACTGCTGCTATGAATGTGTACAGATCTGTGCGTGGGCCTGTTTTCATTTCTCTCGGGCGGATCCGGAGCAGTAGGACTGCCGTGTCTTACAGTAGTAAGTGTGAGAAACTGCTTTCCAGCGTGGCCACACCATTTACAGTCCCACCTACGGTGTGTGAGCGGCCCGTTCTCCACCTCCCCGCCACCGATTGGGTGTGGTCCGTCTTTTTATTGTTGGACTCCCTAATAGGTGTGTGGTGGTGTTTCATTGTGGCTTTAACTTGCATTTCCTAACGACTGGAGCCTCTTTTCATGTTGGCCTGTTGGTCTTCTGTGTATCTTCCTTGGTGACGTGTCTTTTCAAATCTTTTCCCCTTTTAAAAAATTGGGTCATGGGGGCGCCTGGCTGGCTCAGTCAGTAGAGCGTGTGGTTCTTGATCTTGGCGTCATGAGTTCGAGCCCCCATTGGGTGTAGAGATTACTTAAAAATAAAATATTGGTGTTCCTGGATGGCTCAGTTGGTTGAGCATTCAACTCTTGATTACGGCCCGGGTCATGATCTCACAGTTTGTGAGTTCGAGTCCCGAGTTGGGGTCTGCACTGACAGCATGGCACCCGCTTGGGATTCTCTCTCTCCCTCTCTCTCTCTCTGCCCCTCCCCTCTCTCTCTAAGTAAATAAACATTTAAGCAAATAAACAAGATCTTTAAAAAAAATGGGTCTTGTGTCTTATTAAGTTCCAAGAATTCTTGATATATTCTGGATAAATAGATGATTTGCAACTGTTCTATTCAGTTTGTGGTATCATCAATGGTATCTTTTGAAGTGCAAATGTTTCCATTTTTATAAAGTCCCATTTGTCAGTTTTTTTCTTTTATAGAAAAATATCTAAGACCTCTTGGCCTACTACCAAAGTCATGGAGATGGTCTCCCAAATTCCTGACTTTCCCTTAGTTTCCCTCTCTCCCCTCCCCTTGCTTCTTAGGTCTGACAATGCCACTTCCTTAGTTTTTTCCTCTCCCTCTCAGGCACCCCCTTTTGTCCCCCTCTCACCCCGCTTTCGTCCCCTTTTAGCAGTGTTTTGTTTTGCTTGTTAATTCTTAAATCAGGTCATACTCCCCAAGGACAGGGATGTTTCTCTGCTTTGTTCATTGCGGAGTCCCAAGTGCCTAGAACGGTGCCTGGCGTACGGTAGGTACTCAGTAGATCGATGTAGGATTCAGTCCTATTGTTCCTCGGGAGAAAAGTCCAATCGTATTGTCCAGGCCTAGAAGGCCCAACGTGACCTGGCCCTGTGCCCCCTGCCCCCCCCCCCCCCCCCACGGTCTTCTCTCTAATCCTCAAGTGTGCCAAGCTCACTCCCAAATCAAGGCCTCTGCTACAATTGTTCCCTCTGCCTGGAATTCATTTCCCTCTGCCTTCCTCAAGGCTGACTCCTTCTGTCCATCAGAGCTCAGCCTAAATGTCACCTTCTCTGAGAAGTCCTCCCTGACCACCTCATCTAAAGCAGCCGCCCCATCTGCCGCGTTGCATCACACTATCCCATCACCCTGCTTTCATTGTCCACGGAGCATCACCTCCAACGAAAAAATTTCCCAGTTACTATTTTTACATAGTGGTTGGTTATTCTCCAGTCTCGGTGGGTCCCAGGACAGAAGCAGGGAGAACAGAGTTCCTGCCCTGCTTTGGTCAAGCCCTTCCTCCTCCGGGATCCTTACTTGGTTATTCTGGTCCCTGAAGGTTCACTGCCTCCTGTGTCTTCACTATGTTCCCACTGGTGACTTTGGTGGCCCCTTGCAACATCTCATTCCACATTAACTCTGGGCTTGGCCATGTCACTTGTTCCGGCCAATGAAATGTTAGCAGCTGTGATGGAAGTAGAGGGTGGATAAGTCTTGCATGTTGGGGCTTGTTCTCTGTGGAACCTAGTTGCCATGATGTGAGGAAGGCTATGATAGCCACGTGGAGTGGCCAAGTAGAGGAGAGCCAAAGAATCTGGGATGACAGCCCACGCTGGCAGCAAGCTGAGCTCCTAGCCGACAGCTCACATCAGCTGCAGCCATGTAGGTGAAGCCACCTTGGATGTTTTGCCCAAGTTGAGCCTCCAGCTAATTGTAGCTGTATAAACGACTCAGCTGATGGCACATAAAGCAAAAGAACGATCCAGTCAGAGAATTGTGAGAAATAAGAAATCATTGTTGTTTCAAGCCACTGTTGTGGGATTGTTTGTTACACAGCAGTAGATAGCTGATACACTTGTGCAAGTCTCATTTGTCTCTCAGGGTTCACTGGCCTAACCGCAGCCCACTCTCCTTCCCCACCCCCAGTCCATCATTCTTGGAGACGGGCCGCTCTCCCAATCACCCCCCTCTTTGGGGCCAGGAAGCCCCTCCCAGATATTACTGAGCTGTCACCTCACCAGTCCAGTTGTGTTCCCTCCATAATGGGCATCAAGAAAAGCCTAGGGCTTTAGTGACACTTGGCAAGGCCCTCCCCACTCTCAGGGACTGCAGCCTCCCATTGGGCAAAGGGTAGCAGAGTAAGGGAAGGCTCCCTGGGGATCCCTGATCTCCCCGTGCAGACAGCACTAGACCCTCAGTGGGCTCCCCCCCGTCGTGTCCTTGGGGGGGGGGTCCCCACAGTGGGATCAGAGAACAGGCTTGGGGCACAGTGACATGAGGGGTAGCCCACCAGCGGATGGCTGGGTTCCCTGCCAGCAGCTTCCCAGCTGTGCGTCCTGTGGCCAGGGACTCAGACCTGTCTGGTCTCGGTGTGTGCATCTATCACAGGGGCCGGGTATGTTGAACCCTGGGCCGGTCTGGCACTCGGGAGACCCATAAAAGTGCACCTGGGAAGGGCAGGAAAAGGGGCCAGGGACGGGAATCGGGGGAGCCCCTGGAGGGCGTAGTCCGGCCGCTGGCTAGGTGGACGACATTCCCGGTGGAGGGAACAGCCAAGGCGAAGGTGTGTTTCCTGCGGGGCAGGTGAGGCTGTGCCTGCAGGCCGCAGGAGCTCAGAAGCCGGGCTGGGGACCTCGAGGCTGTCTCCCGGGAGGGAAAGGGGGCAGGGGGCAGGGTACAGCGCTCGTCCCCACTCCCCAGACCCGGAAACCGCAGCGCCGCCCAGCCTCTTCCGCTCCGGGAGGGCCGCCCTCCTCACGCGGCCCCCCGCGGGGTCCACGGGCTCCAGGCTGGGGGAGGCGCGGGGAGAGGAAACCGGCCCGCCCCACCCCCCGCCCAGCCGCTTCTGGCCCCTCCTCTCCCGATCCGCCCCGCCCTCCACGCCCCGGGACTTCCGATTGGCTGGTCAGGGCACCCTCCCCCCCGAGCCCCGCCCACGAGGGGGGGCCCCCAGCTACCCTGGAGGGCGGGGCGGGCAAGCCGCGCGGGCGCCCGAGGGGCAGCTCCGGGTGTGGAGTGGGCAGGATCGCGGCTATTTTACGGCGAAGACTGAGGCCCAGAATGGAAAGAGGCTTGCGGAGGCCACATAGCGAGTGGCGAGCGGGGTGAGGTGTCGGGGGTGGAGACCCAAGCCCGTGGACCCCGCCGCCGGGTAAGGGCGCTCAGACGTCCTTGCGCCCGGGCGACCTGGCCCCACACCCCGGCTGGGCCTGGACCGGCTTCAGGCTGCGAAGACGCGCGCGGCCGCCAGGGGACGGTGTCGGCCCGCGCTGGGCGCTGGGGAGCGCCGGTAGGGCGGGACCGCACCGGGGCCTGCTCTGGTCCCCTGCTCCGACAGGGAAACTGAGGCGGAGCCCACACTGGCTCCGGCCGGTGCCTGGCCCCCTCCTCAGGGCCGCAGAGCGGGGTCCGGTGGGGGACTCACCTTTTCAAGCTCTGCGGCCAGTGGGTGCAGCGAAACAAGTCACCGTCCCCTCCCTCCCTCCACCTGCTTTGGCGCCTTGCCGAGTGGCTCCGCTTCCCCGAATTTGTTTCCTTTTCGAGTCACCGGAGAGAAAAGGTTTCTTTGGACGGATCCAGGCCCCCACGGCTGGAGGGGTCTTGGGAAGGTGGGGAGTGTTCCCAGGCTCTGCTGGCACACAAGGGCCGCTGCTAAGACAGCTGTGTGACCTGGGCCAGGCCTGGCGCTAGGGCCTCAGTATCCCCTTCTCCCTCACTTCACTGCAAGCCAGAACTCTTTTTATTATTATTATTATTATTATTATTATTATTATTATTATTTTAATGTTTGTTTTTGAGACGGAGACAGAATGTGAGCAGGGGGCAGGGGCAGAGAGAGAGGGAGACACAGAATCCGAAGCAGGCTCCGGGCTCCATGCTGTCAGCACAGAGCCCCACGCTGGGCTCAAACCCATAGACGGAGAGATCATGACCTGAGCCAAAGTCAGATGCTTAACTGACCGAACCACTCAGGTGCCCCCCTCCCCCCTTTTTAATGTTCTATGGGGAGGGGCAGAGAGAGAATCCCAGAATCCCAAGCCGGCTCTCCACACCATCAGAGCAAAACCCCACGAGGGGCTGGAGCCCACCAACCATGAGATCATGACCTGAGCTGAAACCATGAGCCAAAACCAAGAGTCAGACACTTAACCCACTGAGCCAACCAGGCACCCCGCAAGCCAGAACTCTCTACCCAAGAGGGAGCAATGGAAAATAAGGCGGGAGGCTCAGACAGTGGGGGGCTGTCTTAGCCTGGTCCACTTTGGCTGTGCTTGTCCCCATGGCCCTGCGTGTTCAGCTTGCTGCCACTTCCCAGGGCGGCCCAGAGGGCTTAGCCACATACTTCTTGGCCCTCAGGGGGCACTGTCGCTTCCCAAGGTCACACAGCCTGGCAGCTGTCCTGTGCCCTTGCACTGGCAGGGGAGGGAGGACAAGCTTGGCCTTCTGCCTTCCCCACTGCTTTCTGTGCCTGCCAACCTCCCCTCCTGCCACTTTTGCTGTCCCCAGGGCAGCTGGAGGAGGCCTCCATCTGAGGAGCGTGGTCTGTGTCCCACAGTCTGCACTTGGGCTGGGCCTCTCTGTTGAGTCTCCCCCTTGTGCTTAGGGCTTCCTAGTGGCCAGGACTCTGGTGCAGCCCAGATGAATCACGGACTTCCTGCTCCCAGCCCTCCAGGGCACCTCAGGCATCACTCCCCACAGCCAACCAGGCTAGGCTCCCACCCCTGCCTGCTCCCCCCACCGTGGGGTGTCCTGACCTCATCCACCCACCTAACTCCTTCTCCATTTAGTCATCAGCATTTATGGGGCACCCACTGCCCTCCTGCAGGGGCAGGCGGGCCCCTCCCTGTGGTCTGACAGAGGAGAAGCCCCCAGGAGTGCAGGACAGTGAGGTAGGCACCCAAAGAGGCTGGGGTGGGGGGGGGCTCCTTTAGTCAGGTGACACCTGAAATGGGTCCACATGGACTTCTGGGGACTGGCCATCTAGGCCAGAGGGAACAACATGAGCAAGGGCTGGAGTTGGGACTGCAGCCTGGAGTGGGGTGGGCAGCCTGACCTGGGAGGTGGGCTGGAGCAGTGCAGACGGATGGGGTCAGAGTGGACACCGGCCCTTGGGACTTGACTGATGACGCAAGAGGGTACAGGTGACTCCTCCCGGAAGCCTCTCCTGCCCACTCACGTCTGGTCCTCAGAACAGGCTCTAAGGGCCCGTTTGTTGGATAAACTAATGAGTGAAGCTGCTTAGAAGTGCTGGCTGACTGCCCGACTCCCCTGGCCAGGGATGGAGGGCCCCTGACCCATCACCCCAACCTGCATCTGAGGCCTCCCATTCTGTGAGTGGGAGAGACTTCTAGGAGGAGGGGGCCGCAGCCTCATCAGCCTGGAACTCATGAAACCAAAGCCTTCTCTTCTTGGGACAACACAAAGCTTATAGGTTCCATCTCTGTGGGCAAAGCTCTGTCCCCTTGAGCCTCAGTTTCCCTGCCTGCAAAGTGGGCTGATGATCCAACCTACCTTGCTGGGTAAGTCAATGAGATAATGGCCATGAGATAGCAGTCTGCCAATGGAAACTGCCTCTCTAAAAACTTAGCTTGGGGTGCCTGGCTAGCCCAGCCAGTAGAGTGTGTGACTCTTGACCTCAGGGTCGTGAGTTCAAGCCCCTCGTTGGGCTTAGAGGATATTTAAAGAAAATAAATAAATAAATAAATACATACATACATACATACATAAATACATAAATACATAAATAAATAAAACTTACCTTAATTGCACAAATGATATCTGAGTATGTGCCCCTCATGAAAGATTCAAACCACAAAGAAGGTCCAGAGAATAAGAACTAAAAGGGTCCCTTCCTCCTTCTTGCCGATTCTCTCCCCAAGAGACACTGCTGGCAAGAGATCAATGTGTGGCTTCCAGCACTTTCCAAACAATATGTATGCTTTTTCTTTTAACATTTTTGTGTTGAAATATTTACAAAGAAATCCTAACAGCTCAGTTTTGGAGGCTAACTCGGTGCCAGGCAGAGCTGTGTCCTATGAGAGCTCCATACCCCTCAGGACGGCTCTCTGTGGCAGATTCTCTCCACTTGACGAATGAGGAGCTCAGGCTCTTTGCTCTTGACTGTGGCTGCATGGTACTGACATGTGCATTAGTCATATGGTAGCCGTGTGATTAACCTTCAAAACCAGGACCTGTTGACAGAGAAGGCGACACTTATAATTATGCTGGTATGACAGCTACTGTCCCAGGTAAGTAAAGAGTCAGGACTTTCTCAAGTGCTGGGCCCTGCCTCCAACTGGCCTGTGCCAAAGAGAGAATTTACCAGCTCATTTAATGTGAAAGCTCAAAATCCAGCCTGGCCAGATCCAGAGATCCTACAAAGACCCAGGGAAGCCATAGAAACTGTCTCCCTGGGGATGGAGAGGGGAAGAGTGAAGTCTGGGGCATGTGAGGGAGTTGGTGCCTAGGCCCCAGGCTCACACAATCCTGTCCACAAGCCCAGCAGAAGAGCAGGGACCAGCTGCTGTGTGGCAGAAACCAGAGCTGGGAAGGGTACATCATGATTATTTTAGCCATTCCCTTTTGGACACTTAGGTGTTTTCCAGGTTTTCATTGTTAAAAATGCAGCAGGCACCCTACCTTCTTGTTACTTGGTAGTCACCTGTATTCTCTCCCAAGATTTACCTCTGAAATAGACATAAGATATAAAATTAAGGCTAAATTCTTTCATAAGACTTTAAAGAAGTAAGCAAGTGAACAAAACCCACAGTAGTGGAACTTGTTGGCGTGTGGGCAAGTACTTACCTGGGATAAGATAGCTAACCCAAAGATTGCTGGACCCAAGTGCCTTTGGAGTGCCCTCCCCACCTCTGCATGAGAGTGAAGGCCTGATTCTTCACCCTGACAATATAGGCTGTTACTGGCCACTTCAGTTTTGGCCAGTAGGCAATACAAGAGGTTGTACCTTTGCTGATTTCTTACAGAACTGAGTATCTTCATGTGTTTGTTGGCCAGCGTGTGAATCGCCTATTCATACTGCTTGCCCATTTTCCTCCTGGGTTAACCTTTCTCACTGGGTTGCAGGAGATCTTTACACATTCTGAATGTCACTCCTTTGCCATGTATGTTGGACTCTTTGGTTCCCATGGTATCACTTGTCTTTGCTTAGTTGTATCCTGTCTTTGGTCTGTACTGGCATCTCATGTTGAGCCTTGAAAGACTGGTTGGATGGGGTGGAGAGCTCTGTGGGCGACCTTGAACGCCAGGGCAGGTGGGGACAAGCCCAACTGTCCAAAGGGAGAAGCTGGAGGGGTAGGAGCAAGCACCCATGGAACAGGCCCCTGGAGACTAGGTGGGCTTTGGCCCAGCACAGCTAGTTGAAGTCAGGAGAGGACCCAGGGGTGGTGGTGGCAGGGGGTAGGGTCTCCCTATCTTCTTTCCTGGTCCTGGCCACTTCCCATACTTCCCTCTGCTTTCTCAAGGTCCTGGCCCTTGCCCAATCCTGCCCCTTGGAACAGCTTCCTTTTGAGATCTGAAAATCCACCTGACTCATTTCACAGATAAGAAACTGGAGCTCAGACAGGTGGAGTTACTCAGCCTATGGTCCCACAGTTGGTGAATAGCTGATTAGAAGCCAGCGTGCTTACGGGTGCCTGTGTGGCTCAGTGGGTGAAGCGGCTGGCTTTGGCTCAGGTCGTGATCTCTCAGTCTGTGAGTTTGAGCCCCACGTCGGGCTCTGTGCTGACAGCCTGGAGCCTGCTTCGGATTCTGTGTCTCCCTCTTTCTGCCCTTCCCCTGCTCGTACTCTGTCTCTTGAAAATCAATAAACATTAAAAAAACAAAAAACAGCCAGCATGTTTGGCACCAACCTCCTCCCCCAGGGAGCACTCCCTACCTTCCTCCCTCTACCTGTAACACACACCCTGAATGGCTCTCCTCACTACCTGGGCACACCCAGATGCCTGTCCTGTGGGACAAGTTCTTCCAGGACAGAGGGGAGTGGGGCTTGGGTTGGGTTCCAGAGGAAACACTACAGTGTTAAAAGTCAAACCCCATACCAAGACAGCTGTGCTGGTGAGCACTCCCACTCCCTGCTGAGGGCATCCAGGACTGGGCAGGGTAGCCCCTCTCCACCCCAGGCCTCCGTCTCTTCATCTTCCATCCACTCCCCTCTGCCCCAGCTGCCCTCCACCCCTTCCAAGTCCATCCTCCCTTCCTGAGGGAAGCTGCCCCTCTGCACCCTGTTCGAACTGTTCCTGAAGCAGCCTTATAGGGCAGCCGAGCACCTGGCATTAAAAGGCTGACGTGGAGGGGCACGCCCTGTCCCTGCGTCCAGGCCCCAGCACGGTCCCCAAGTAGACATAGGCAGGATGTTCACAGCCAGAAGCTCTGCGAGACCACACGTGTGCCAGGCACGGGGGACAGCTCCCACCAGCAGAAGATGCCTCGGCGACCCAGAGCAGCATGTACCCCAGAGGGTGAGTCTGAAAGTAACCTTGGGAGGAAAGAGCAAGGCGCTGGCAGCGAGGGCTGATTGGTGCCATGATGGACAGTGTTACAATGTCAGCTGCCACCGTGGGAAAGACCCAGGGCTGGCAGGGGGTGGGCAGGATGGGCACACGGGCCTTCAGAGTTACCCACCTGTTATTTCTTAAACTGGACCGTGGTTCCCAGGCATTCATTATGATTATTTTCATATGCCTGAAATAATTCACTAACCAACCCACCTCCAAACCCTTTCTGCCATCACTTCCAAATCCTCAGGACAAACCCAAGCTACCTGCCCCAGCGTTCAAGGACATATGTACCTTGGCCCCTCCTGACTGACATCTTCAGCCTTCTCCAGCCACTCCCAGACCTTTGCTCCAACTGTTCCTCAGCGGGGAATGCCTTTCCTCTGCCCACCTGGTCTTTCTGGCTAATCATGTGCACGGGAAGCTTCTAAGTGGTGGAGATACGGGGTCAGACATGACCTTTTACAAAGAGGCCTTTCGGAACCCCAGTGAGGAAGACAAATTGAAGGGAAAGGCGAGGAGGGCAGCCAGGGGTGGAGAGAGACTTGCCCTGAGGCCAGCTGCACGCCCTGGCACCTGCGGCCGATGCCCTTGCAACCTCGCTCCACTGGTAGTCCTGGAGATGGCATGAGGTCTCAACTCCAGCCCTGACGAAGGACGAGGACGAGGAAGCAAGGGGCCCGAGCTCTGAGCCACGGGTAGTTCACCTCGGGCACCACTTCCCTAGGAAGCTCTCACTCCCAGGGTCTGGGGGCTCCAGAGGGCAAACAGTCAACCCCAGGATCTCCATTCACTTTGCCCCTCCCCCCATCATACTCAGAGACGTCCAGAATGGGAAAGCTGGGAGAAAAGGCAGGGAAACTGAGGGCCTAGAGAGAGGAGCAGGGGAAAGCCTAGGCGAGGCAGGGGGATCCCACATTCCCGGGTCAATGACCTACTTTCTCTAAATCTGGTGGTCGCCCTGGACCCCAAGGGCTTCACTGCGGGCCGATGAGATCACACCCCCCCCTAGGTGGGGCAGTGCTTCAGGTGGGGGCATCTGGTGGGGTCTCAGCATGACCTTGGATGCCCGCATGTGTGGCACCCCAAACCTTGGACCCTTCGTGGAGAGTCTGGGGCAGCTGGGGCCCAATCCACCACCATGTCTGAAGAAAAGTAGGCGAAGCACCTGGTTTCCCTTCTGGCTGCTCCTCACTTGGGAGGCCACCTCCCTGCGAGCCTCAATTTCCTGGCCTGTGAATGGGGGGGTCATAGTTTCCACCGCTACCGACTGTGAAAATGAAGTGAAATCAAGTATGTTTAGCACTGAGATTGGCACACAGTCCGCGCTCATTAATAGCTGCCTGCATCCATTGGACCGTCCCCTGGGAACGTCAGCCTAGAGCAGGGTCTCCCGATGCCCCGACCCTGGCCTGGCAGAACGCAGTTGGGTCCCTTAGGAGGAGTCAGAGCTCCTGCCCTTTGACCCCCCCCCCATGGACTGATGGGAAACAGCTCCGGAGGTCTCCCTCAAGGTCACAGAGGGTTACTGGGGAGGTGGAATAGGACTTCTGGGGTGACGAGGGAAGTCACACTCCAGGGAGCCGGAGCGCCTACGCGCGCGCCGGGACCCACCCCTCAAATCGGCCCAATCATCCTCCCGTTCCCGGGCCGCCGGGGGGCCTTTCCTCGCCCGCAGCTCGGGTTTCCGGGAGCCCCGCCCCGCATCGGCCTGTGCCAGCCCCGCCCCCCCGCGCGCCCGCAAGTTTCTCCCAACTTTTCCGCGGGTCTGGCCGGGCGCCCCGCCCACCGGCTGGTGACGTAACAATGGTGCAGCGTGGCGACCAATGGGCGGCGGCGGGGGGCGGCAGTGCGGGCCAATGGCTGCGGAGGACGGTCCCGCGGTCCTACCGGGCTCCGACCGCACTGCGCCGCCCGCCGCCCGCCCGCCGCCGGCGCCGCCGCCCAGCG